AGTTTGATCAAATAATTTTATGAAAAAAATTATATGCATATCAATTTAGGCCCTCCCACCAAATGAAAAGGACAACTAGTGTCACGTAAGATGCTAACAATTTTTTTGTATAATAAGTTTGCTTGTCTCATTTTTTCTAATTATTGATTGCAACATGTGTTGATCATAAAAATTCAGCGTTCATGTTGAAAGTTGGAAGACAAAGTTTGTGTTTCAATTCAATACTACCTATTCTGTTCTCTTTTATGCTGAATGGAAACATTTTGTGGAGGATGAAATTGCCTACTAAATAACCATTTCAATTTTGGTCTTTGCCTTGTCTCACAGAATCAGAAAGAGACATTTTCTACCTTTCCCTCGTTTCACAACTTTAGGTTTAAGGCCCAGAATAAAGTAGGCTCAAGGCCCACATGGATAAAGGGCCCAAGACCCAGAAAGATATTTGTCAATTTCAATATTTTTTTTCTTTGTTTCAGTATGTGGCTATGTTTTTTTTTTTTTTAAATAAAGATAACATAGTGTTGTATAGTCTAACAGAACGTTCAACTATAATCATTAATGTGGAGTTTTTCTTTTTAAATTAATAATTAATTTCACTTTAAAGATAATATTATTAAGATTTATATTTTATAATTTAAATTGTATATTAAAAATATGATCTATTTTTTAAATTTATTACAATATTTTTAATTAATTATTTTTCTTTGAATTTGACATGAAAAGGACAAGAGGTAAACGAAAAAAATTGGGGGCAGCCCCATTAAATAAGAAAGGGGAGAGTCAATTTAAGCAGAAATTGATAGAGACAACTCTCCAATTATGTCATTCCATATCGACCACGTTTGTTGCATTGCATCTGAACAAAGTTTCGTTTATATTTGACAATTCTTCTCTTTGTTCAACGAATATTATAAATGCGGAAAGGTAAAAGCAAAATATAATAGATTTTGTTGGTTAAAATGAAAAAAATTTAATATTTTTTAAATAATATTTTAAATTTAAGTTTTGTGAATAAAAAAACAAACATGAAGAGAACTTTCTTTTTAATGAAATCTGTCATAACTTAATTTTAAATTAATCAAAATCTAATGTAATTATCGAATACTGAAAAATTAATAAAAAAAAAACAGCAGAAATATAAAACCAGAGAAAATTGATAGTATAAACAAGAAATTCAGAGGCAAAAGTGTTCACAAATTACCAAACCATTTTGCCAACTTCCACTTCAGACATTTGGCAAGTCTTCACAAGGAAATGTTTTTTTTGCTGTTTAAAAACACAGCTTTCTGAGTAGGACATGGCCCTTGACTCTCATGCTCGTTTTAACCTACCCGTTTTGAGTGGTGTCAGAACCAGCAGAAACCGTGACATTAGTAGGTTATGAGTTACCTTCCCTAACCTGTAAACTCATTTGATCTAAACCTGTCTAACCTGTGACACAAAGAGTCCTGACCCCAACCCAAATTAACCCACCCTTCTGTCAGCTCTACTTGCATTAAGGATCATTTACTGTTTATTAATAATTGTAAGACATTTTCAGTCTCACCTTGATGCATCCCTATCAATCTATATCATTCGCTCTCACTTGAACATGACATGGAAGTACAAATAAAGACGCTCAGAAAACGAACCCTTCTAATTACAATTGACCTGGTTACACTACAAAAGACAGGTCACAAGGAAGATTCATGTGAACTTAGGTTTAGGCATGAGTGAACCCTGGGTATTAGAGTGAACTGGACCAAGCTTGTGAATCCAATGAAGGAATCCTTTCTTATGATCTTGGCATATTAGGTTCTGTACTAGATTCAGGGTTCCATCATGATTGAGTGCAGATTCAAATTGCTCCAATACCTTGACAATCTGGCTGAATTCAGGCCTCTTGTCTGGTTGTAATGACCAACATTGCTCAATTAGAGCTTGCATGGGAGGCGGACAATCCCCCGGGATAACAGGCCTCAGATTCTACAGACCAAAGTTTTGATGTCAGAATCACAATACAGAAGCTTATTGATCAAGATTAATGCACACGAGAACAAACAGTAATTTAGTCAAGATTCTATATTACAGCCAAAACATTTTTTGACATGAAAGTTGATTTAGAAAAGAAATTCGAAATTCCTTTCTTCATATTTTCTTCACTGAAATCTTTCATTTAGAATTCTTAATCCAACACAACATCACTACCCAAAAAATTCTTCAAAAAACATGGTATTTCCAAAGCAGTGAATCTAAGGAAGTATTTAACTTTAGCATCATATCTAGCATGGGAAGGTGAGTCAACTCTATCGCATCTAATTTACAGAAATAATCTGTGTCTGGATGCTTGCTTATATATCAACCTATTTATACTAATTATTTCACCAAGATATGATATCCAGAAACAAAGGCTAACTACTGAATATCACTCAAATGACAGGGAGATGCTCCTTAGGAGTCCCTATTTTGTAGATCAAACAACTCATTATATCAGCATGCTAAATGCAAAAAATTATCAGTGCACTTTCATGCTGCGTATAAAGTGCAAGGATCTTCATCTTCAGTCAAAGGATAGGTTGTGATGCGAGGCTTCGGACTTCATCATTGCTTGTGGTAATTTTTAATCACAAAAAACTGAAGACAGTCTAAACACGAGCCTGAAATGCTAATCACAAATTTTAAAATGTCTTGAAAAGTGGAAGGAAATTCGAAGCATACCTTATTCACCACAGCAAAAGCAGCCTGGATGGGATTCATATCATCATATGGGATTGTTCCAGCCACCATTTCCCACAATATGAGTCCAAAACTGTAAACATCAACCTTCCGCCCATAGGATTTCTTTTTTATCATCTCAGGTGCCATCCATCGATAAGTTCCAGGGTCATCTGCTAACAAGTCACAATATGCCTCCTCACAAGCTATACCAAAATCAGCAATTTTTAAGTGAAAGTTCTCATCAATGAGGATATTTTCTGGTTTGAGGTCCCGATGAATAACTCCTTCAGAATGAATGTATTCCATTCCACGAGCAATATCCAAAGCAATTGCAATCAATTTTTGCAAGGCAAGAGACTTATGATCAAGCTTGTGCAAGTATGCCCTTAAAGAACCCTCTGATAGATACTCTGTAATGACACAATAAACTGGTGGCTTTTTGCATGCTGCCACAAACTGTGTAAAAGAAAGTGGCACAAATAATTACACACAGAACAGTGACTTTAGACATGATTCAGGAGTTAGGCGTAGCAATTACAAATTCACAGCTATTGCAGTTTAGTGACCAACTGCTTGATACATGAATAAGCTGAAGTATGTAATTCCTCTAAAGAGCATACTCAAATGAAAGAGCTATTGAAGTAAAGGGAGAAAAGAAAAAATTGATTACCTTAATGACTTTCTGATGATGGAGTCTAGATAAAAGAGTAACCTCTCGGTTGAATTGTTTCTCCAATCGAGCTCCTAAGTTTCCATTTTCATCATCATCAGGTACAGTAATAATTTTAACTGCAACAGGCTCATCCTTATATATCCCATGGTAAAGCCGGCTATGAGCCCCATGAGCAAATCTAAGACCAAGAAACAGCTTGGAGAGATCAACAGTTTGCTCATCAGCTGCTTCAACAGCTGTTACCCTTCCTCCAGCATGATCAAAATACTTACCCCAAGCCGAGTCCTTCCTCGTCTTCATTCTCTCTTGAATTTTCATGGTACCCAAGTGCCTCAGAGGACTTGTATTTGATGCAAATGAATTAGATGCCTTGGCCTCCTGGGAATCTTTATGGAATAACTTTCCCTTGATTCCTCTATCCGACTCCTTCCTCCAAGGATGTGGAGTTGAGAATCTCTTCCTATCAGACCTTGCTTCCTTAAAAACATCAGGGACAGACCTATGAGGTAGAGGAGATACGGTTCTTTGCTTGTTTGTAATCGGATTTTGCTGAATCTCCGAGTTACCATGAACATACGTTTTCTTAGAAGGAGCTGCTGCAGGCCTTGATTTTAATCCTGGATTCCTATCTGGTTCAATGGTGAGCGGGAAAGAGGCCAATCTGGTTGCATCCAATCTATGACAAACCGTATGAGAAAAATTTGTTCTCCTAATCCAAGAATTAGCATCTTCCTCCATTTTTCTGTTCATGTGATTAAACTCAAGTACTTGAAACCCTAAATGACCTTATCTCCAATATCACCCTTCTTCTCCAGCAGAGAATAAGACTCACAGTCAAGAGGGTGTTCCCCAAACAATACTCCTACGTAATTAATATACAGAGTTCAAGAAACAAAATTTCTTCAAACCCTTCAACAGATAACCCCTAAAGAGTCAAATTTCGGTTTCCTTAAATTCAAGAAACCAATCAAACCCATGAAGAACCACAAAAAAATGAGACAGTACCTGATCCAAATCAGGTCTCCAGCAGAACCAATAGATCCCTTGAAACCCACCAAATCTACCCACAGACAAAAATAAAAATCCTCTTCCACTCTCAATCCATCAACAGAGAGAACTGTCTTTATTCACAACCGAGACCCCATCACCCAAACCTCAGAACCCTTTTTTACCGACTTCAAAGTCAAATCCCACCCTCCGTGATAGCCTAGAAAATCCCACACAGGTACGTCAATAAACAAATCATTCAGTGAGAATAATTAGAATAATATAGTCACCAAACATAAACAAATTAAAAAAAAAGAAAAAAAAGAAAAAAAAAGGCAACCTCTGTTATATTGAAAAATAAAAGAAACACCCGTGATTATACTATACACCCCATTAATTACAGAAAAAGAACTGTTCACTGCATCAGAAACAATCACAAACCCCATTACAGAAAATCAAAAAACAACAAAAACCCAGATACAATCTCAGCCCAATATGCACAAACAAATAAAGAAATTGAAAGAAAAACCGAAAAAGACTCAAACTTTCATAACCCAAGACTCTCAGAGGAACCAAGGAGAAAGCCTTACCACGACTAGAGTACGTAGCTATCACGGCAGAGAAGCATTGAGGAATATTTCCACCGGAGCAGCGTACAGGGACAGGATCCTTTTCTGAGGGAAGAGGGTTTAAAAAAAGGGAAACTAAAAGTCTTAAAGAAAAATGGAAAAATTTTAAATCCCTAAGGAGGAGAGAAGAAAAGAATAATCAAAGATTTTCCCCCTTTTATTTTATATTATTTTTTATATAATTTTTATATATTATTAAATATATTTATATATTTAATATTATAAAATTTAAATAAATAAATAAAATTAATTATTTAAATAATATGTAAAATTATATGAAAAATAATATTAAAAAATTACCCTTAAATTTATTGTTGTTAGCCGTTAGGTATCTTGGACAGCTTAGTTCTCTTTAATCATACGTATATCAAATTGATTTTTCTTTGTTATTTTGATAAGAGGCAAATTACCACATAGATATTAAGAAATTTATAAAAATTTAAAGAATTAAATTTTAATCAATAAAATAGGGGGTAAATTTTTAACTAACAATTTTATTTTAAAAAACTTTTTAGTATTTTAATTTTTAGTTTTTTTTTT